ATTTTAGGCTGTAGCATGAATTCTCAGCTTTGGGGGATACTGAGCATCTGCACTTAATGAATGATGTCACCACGATTTCCCTGCTCTAGCTTCTTGTCCTGTTGCAGTGTGGATGTGTGTTCTGGATCAGGGGCACTGTGCATACAAAATTAAGCCATTATATAAAACTCCTTAGGATCTGTACTTTCCTGTCGCTGCTCAAAGCAGGGTTGTTATGCAACACCGCCATGAAATCCTCTCTGGCTGGGAAGGTCCATGTGGGAAACCTGCTTGGAAAAATGCCTGCAGTTGAAACCCTTAGACTCTCGCATTCTTCCAATAAACGTCCGCTGATGGCTCATATATGCTGCTGGGTTTCTACTGGCAACAGTCAAAAAATCTTGCTGGGGAAACCTGGTTCTAGAGGAGCGAAGATTTAAGGTGCAGGAGATGGGAGGGAAGACTTCATGCACAGAACCCAACTTCCAAGCCAGGAAGAACCGCTTGCTCTAGAATTTTGGAAATTTTAGTTAGAGATGTTTATGAGAACCCACTCTATGCAGGGACTGGCTAGAAGACACTGTATCATTCCTAAGAATTTCTGTCTCACAACGACGTTCATGATGAATAAATCAAGTATGTAAATTGGCTAATCATTGAGATATATCCTGTAGAACACACAACTTAGAGATTAAAGAATAAAAATTTAAAAAACAGGTCCCATTGTTTCCCCTGCAAAAAAAAAAAAAAAAAAAAAAAAAAGGTAGAGTCATTTCAATCAGGAAAAACTGTACGAAAGACCAGGAGGAAATCCTTTCTCCAGCCCATTCTCCCGAGTGACCGGTAAAGGCCAGACGCTCAGATGGGCTGGCTCAGAAAGCCTGCCATCACGGGCGCGCACACGGTAGCGTGCGCGGCGTCATCCTCGGGGAGAGCTGCACATTCTGTTGGCGACATGTTCTGTGCCGCCACGTACAGTGGCTGCTCTTCTCTCCCCGGAGAAATGAGAGAAGCCCAACCATATTTTGAAGGAATAAAGGGACGACAGGATAAATTTGTCCCGGGGATGTTGTCTTGTGGCAAAATCGCCTGTAACTCCGGGGCACTGGGGCGTGGGTATGGAACAGAATGTGCGCTGCGGTTTTATACAGTTCCCTATGTTGCAGATTCCCCCCGCCCGGCCATAAAATTATTCTTGTTGCTGGTTAATAATTTTGCTACTGCTATCAATCATAATGTAAATACATGTGTTTTCTGATGGTCTGGGAGGGCCCCTGCGAAAAGGCCATTTGACTCCCAGAGAGAGGGGTTGAGACCCACAGGTTGAGACCCACAGGATGCTCTAGAGGCATCCCATTGGATGGTAACTTGTCCTCAGCGGAATTTGTGAGCCGAGGCTCCATGTTTGCCCTTGTGTTTCAGAAGTGAGGGAACGATAAACCAGAAGCTCTGGCGAGCTTACACCCCGGGAGAGAAAAGGAAGCACCACCAAATTCAGCTGAAGCATTTAAACTTTAATTTATTAAGTAATCTCTGAGTGGAAGTACGTAAATGATTTTTTTGATGATAGAGTTTCAGAAAGTCGTGAAAGGTGCACATTCCTGGGCTTTCCCCCTAACTTCCTTCGAGGGCTTCCTGGCTCCTTCCTCTGAAGAGGAAGCAACCGCTTGGCATTGGTTGGCAAGAAATCATAGCAAGCTTTACTCTCGCTGTGGTCAAAGAAGATCATCAGTGATAAAAATGGCCTCACGAGCTTCATTCAAATGGTATGTTTCTCCACTGAATTGCAGCTTAATTGGGATGTAGATTGCACAGTCTCATACCCCCTCATTCAAACATCTAAAGGTCGAAAGCTGTATCATATCCCACCACCTTTATTTCTGGAATGATCGCTGAAGCACACTGCCCCTTGTCCTGTAACCGGCTCCCACCCAGAGGAGGCGAGGGTTTTCCAGAGGAGGTGAGGGTTTTCTCTGGTTCCCAGCCGGAGCCCCTTCATTTGCTCTGGGCTCCCTGGCGGCTCTCCTTTCTGCCCTCTTCTTACGTGTCCACTGGGTCTCCACGCTATTTCCACCCCCTGGAGTGTCACCTTGGCTAATGTTTCCTGTACGTGACAGCATGTGACACGCCAAAGTCTTTTCTAAGCTAATGCTCATGTCTGTCATTTCTGTGTGTCTGACCTTTCCCTCAGGCGTCTCTCTCTACCCCTGCTACCAAATGGGATGCCCAATCAGATCCTCCTGATGATATGGAAAAAGAATTTTAGAACAGCTGGAGAAATGAAATCCCGTGATCAATGATATTGATGGTCAGTTCTGCACAATAAAACCACCTAGATTCTAGGTTCTAGAAGAAAACCTGTTCTCAAAGTTTTGAGATTAGAAACCTACAGAAAAACTAAATCCTTTTATTTACGAATGTTTTTGTGTTTTCTTTTCATTTTTTAATAATTTTTTTTATTTATTACAATGTATTCATTTTGTATCCCAGCTGTAGCCCCACCCTCATCCCCTCCCAATCCTGTCCTCCCTCCCTCATCTCCTCCCATGCCCCTTCCCCAGTTCACTGATAGTGGAGGACCTCCTCCCCTTTCATCTGACCCTAGCCTATCAGGTTTCATCAGGACTGTCATTCATAGTCTTCCTCTGTGGCCTGGTAAGGCTGCTCCCCCCCCTTGGGGGGGGTGATCAAAGAACCAGACACTGAGTTCATGTCAGAGACTGCTCCTGTTCCCCTTACTAGGGTACCCATTTGGATACTGAGCTGCCATGGGCTACATCTGTGCAGGGGTTCTAGGTTATCTCCATAAATGGTCCTTGGTTGGATTATCAGTCTCAGAAAAGACCCCTAGGCCCAGATTTGTTGTCTCCTTGTAGAGTTCCAGACCCTTCCAGGTCTTTCTTTCTTTTCTTTCTTTCTTTCTTTCTTTCTTTCTTTCTTTCTTTCTTTCTTTCTTTCTTTCTTTCTTTCTTTCTCTCTCTCTCTTTCTTTTTCTTTCTTTCTTTCTTTCTTTCTTTCTTTCTTTCTTTCTTTCTTTCTTTCTTTCTTTCTTTCTTCTTTCTCTCTCTCTCTCTCTATTTATTTGATGACTCTATTTGCATGTACACTTACATGCCAGAAGAGGGCACCAGATCTCATTGTAGATGGTTGGGAGCTGGGAATTGAACTCAGGACCTCTGGAAGAGCAGCCAGTGCTCTCAACCTCTGAGCCATCTCCCCAGTCCTATGAATGCATTTTTTTTGTTTTGTTTTTTTATTTGGGTGTTGGAGATTGAAGTCAGGTTCTCACACAGGCAAGCACATACTCTGTGGCTGAGGTATACAACCTTAGCCCAAGAAATCCTCTTCTGAATCATTAAAACACTAAAAAATAACCAGGCACCAATTTAAGCTTATTACCTTCCCTTCCCAAGCCAGTTCTTCTGGCACTCCATCTGGAAAATGGCGTTTTATTCTCTTGCTCAGCTGGTCTTATAAAGTGGGGTTAGAGTGAGGACGGTAAATTGTCTAAGGTGTGTAACGTAACCAGGCAGCCACTATCAAGGGCAGCTTTGCTCTGGAAAGTCTATGTCAAGTCTGTCACCAACTTCCGTCAAACCCATCCTGCATTACCTCCTAGTAGCACCTCTACCCATGTGGGTGACTCATACACCAATCAGGAGACAGGTGAATGCTCAATGCCTCCTTTCCTTTGTTATCATGACCCAGCCGTACCTGTACCTGCTTGTGTTAGAATTGTGTCACAATGATCACCTATATTAATCTCCAGTGTCTTGTATCGTTACTGTGTTTATGTGACTCAGAATTAAAGCGCAAAGCCCCAAACCGTTCTTTTTTTCTGTGGAAGAATCTACATGGCCTCACCATTTCCACCAGCACCACCCAACCAACCCGGCATACTGACCATTTTCTGCATCTGCCATGCTCTTTCTTATCTTGATTCCTTCTGTATGTTCCTTAATCTGGTGAAGCTCAGGACCTAGCCAGACCATCCTGCTTCCTGGAGCATCCTTCTCTGGGCTGGAGCTTGAAAGGCAGCTCTGAGTTCATGCTATTCTTTGCCTAGTTAGTGTTTATCCAAAAGCACTGTCCTTCTAGCCCGAACGGAGATGTTAGCTTCTCGGCCATTTCCACGGTGTCAGACTTCCCTTGTCTTTTTTATGCCACCTTGATAAATAAATAAATAATTGTAACACTTAGGGTTATTATTATTATTATTATTACTATTTTACAATGTCTCCTTGTTTCCTCCCACTGATAGTCCTTTCAATCCCTGCTATCTAATCTTTAGAATGTGCAGAAGGGAGACTGAAGATGAAGCCCAGTGAGTGCTTGCCTAGCATGTCTGGGCTCTGGTCCCCAGTATCCCACCACACAAACCAGACACGGTGCCACTCACCAGTAACCTGAGCCCTTGGTAGGTAGAGGCCAGAGGATGGGAGTTTCAAGGTCATCTTTGGCTACAAAATATATTAAGGCCAGCCTGGACTACATGAAACCCTCTCCCCACTTCCCCAAAGTGCAAATGAGTCTTTACAAGAAGCACAATTCAGTCACTAGAAAACGTATCATGGCGGGGACGGGAACTGCGGACTTTGACTCAGTGGCCTATTCATCATGCTATTCATCACAGCAGGATCTCAACGAATAATTGACAACAGAGTCATGACCTCTGGCCCATGACCTCTGCAATGGTTTTACACCAGTGACGTCCTCTATAAGATGACCAGTGTTTATGTAAGGATTTCATAACACTTTCCAACTTTTAGAAACCACAAAATGTGCAAAATATCCACATTGACCCATCAGAGTCAATACAACACAAACAGCTTTTCCACGGCGATTTCCATTATTAACACAGTGACGCTGTAACCCAAGCTGGACCCGGTGCCTGCAGTTCTGGAAACAGGAGCAAGTTGAACACTTAGCCTCAGCATCTCCTGGCTCGTCCTCCAGTGACTTCCTCCTTCATGTCTTTCCTGGTGTTTGAATGTTCAGTAAGATGACCACAAGACAGGGAGGAGTGTCTACATTTAGTCACATTTATTGATGCATTCAGTATCAAGTACATAAGTGCAAATATCCAGAGTCCATGATTAAGTCCGTTAGGAACTACAGAGGAAGTAATACAAAGTGTAATCAAGTCACCATGCCGGCACCTTTTAGTTACCATACATGTAAATCAGCCCAGGCATCCCATACAATAAAAGTACTGTGTGTTCATTTTGGATTTATTCTTTAATCCAATCGTTTTAAGTTATACAAAACTGATTACCCTATGTACGGTCAACTGTTTTATATTCATTTTTATGTTGTGTGTGTTGGGAAAAAAAATGCTAAAACATCGGCCTACAATTCTATATAGTGTTATTAAAGATGAATCCAACCATCAACCCAAGGACATGATAAGCGATTTCCACTATTGTGTCAGCGCACTTGGCAAGAAAGGCCTAGCCACAGGGACGGTAGAAGCTACGAAAGCATCGCAGAGAGAAGAACATCAAGGAAGGAAGGAGAACGTGGGCTCTCACCATCATGCACTTATTTTTTTTTTTTTTTTTTTTTAGCAACACAAAATTAAAAACCACATCTAACACACTTTTCTCTATACTTTAGTGCTTGACACGAGGGACTCAAACATCCTAGGAGTACAGGAAGAGCCTGAAAACACCTGTCTGAAAGTTTGCCTCTAAGATTACGGTACTGGGAAAGGGAACAATCAGTTTGCAGTAACGAGAAAGAAGAGAGCTGTTACCACTCCAGACACTCCCATCCATGTCTGGCTTCTCCTGGGGTATCCATCTACTCAGTGTGCCTTTTGGCGCCAGGGATTTTAGCCTGAATCCTAAAAAGGAAAAAAAAAAATCAAAGGGTTACATTGCAAATGGTATCCATGAAATCATTTCATCATGCGGCTTTACTGTCTGGGTAACTAAATAGCAAGCTTATTCTGGGAAACACAGCTTTAAATGTGGGTCTCTAGAAACACATATAAAGCAATAAAAAGGAACTGAATGTTGAGTTGTGCCCAGACAAGAGCGCTTCATTCTTTAGCGCAGCTTTTTAGTAGATGGGATGACCAAGTTGATGTCTTTCACAACTCCAGCAATGTCGACAGTCACCACTGGCTACTAGGTTCTGGGCACTCCAGAAAGGGGAGAAGGGCGCAATGACTATGCCAGGAAGATGAGAATTACTGAGGTGGGTCCTGGCAAGGGAATATCTTCACCCTTGGTGTGACAAAATACCCAGAAGTGGAATTAAGGGTGGGTTCTAGTTCCAGCCACTGCGGCTCATTCATTGGATGAAACTTCTTCACACCTTAAAAAGTCATCTCCCTATGTGTTTGTGCAGGTATGTTTGTGTGCGCATATGCAGGTATATTTATTTGTGCGGGCGCATGTGCATGTGTGTGTGCAGAGACAAGGGGCCGATTTCTGGTGGCGTTCTTCGGTTGATCTCCATTGTGTCTTTTGAGGCAGGGTCTATCACTGCTGATTAAGCTGGGCCGGCTGCTGAATCCTGGGGGTGTGCCTGGCTCTGCCTCACCAACACCAGGGCTATAAATGCTCACCAAATGCCCGACTGTTTTCAATGTGGGTTTTTATGCTTTAGTGGCATAACGTTTAACTATCTTTTTTTGTTTGTTTGTTTGTTTGTTTTTTAATTTAATTTTATTAATTACATTTTATTCACTTTGTATCACCCCATAAGCCCCTCCCTCCTCCCCTCCCGAACCCACCCTCCTTTCCCCTTCTTCACGCATGCCCCTTCCCAAGTCCACTGATAAGGGAGGTCCTCCTCTCCTTCCTTCTGATCTTAGTCTATCAGATCATATCAGGAGTGGCTGCATTGTCATCTTCTGTGGCCTGGTAAGGCTGCTCCCCCCTCAGGGGGAGGTGATCAAAGAGCAGGCCTATCAGATCGTGTCAGAGACAGTCCCTCTTCCCATTACTATGTAACCCACTTGGACACTAAACTGCCATGGGCTACATTTGTGCAGGGGTTCTAGGTTACAGAGAACTATCTTTAACGTGTGGGTGATTAGATATTGCCAAGGCTCCTAAAGCTCTGTACTGCCGCCATGGTCCGAGTACATCTGTTATCATCTTAAGATGGGTTCATTCTAGAAGGTTTCTGTTTATTAATCTGAAGCCTTATGAGTTCGGCCTGCAGACTAGAATTGTCGCCTCCCTCTACACTAGGCAACATTCTAGAATTTAGCGTTATATAGAGGGAAACAAGGTACACTTTCATTCTCGTCAGGGTTGAAGACAGTGAAATAAAACAAGGAGGCACAAAGTTCAGGTGGTGACGAATGCTAATGAAACAATGCAACACAATGTGATAGGAAGTGAAGGGGAGCTGTGGGGAAGTGGGTGGAGCCAACTTTAGAATTACTGATCTGAGAAACAGATGCCCAAAACACAGGCAGGAGCCACCACGGAAAGAGCTAGAGGTTTCAGGAAGAGAAAGCAGAGAGTATGGAGGCTCAGAAGGAGCTTCGGTATTGAGGGATAGGTCTGAAAAGCAGGCACTAACCCAATGGTGTTAGACAGTGAAGGGTTAAAATTTTATTCAAAGTAATGGAAAGCCATTGATAAGCCTGATGGAAAGCCATTGATAAGCCTGATGGAAAGCCATTGATAAGTCAGGCAGGGGGATGAAGCCATCTGATCCATATTTTAAAAAGAATCACGTTGGTCACTGTGTGGAAAATAAGGAGGGAGATGAGAGTAGAGGCAGTCCCTAACTCTCTTATAGGTAGCACCATAAAGCAGGGTCTGTTAGCAGCAGAAGGTCGAAAAGAAACAAATACAAACTCGTGGATTTGAAAGAGTATAAAAAATAATTATTCATGCACTTTAAAGTTTTAAAAATAATTTTACTGGTTTACATTTGTAGTGTTCACCGCACCAAGGACTGAAGGTGTCAAGTGTTTTAATTTCAATGTGACTGTTCACTTAACGTTTCCTGAATCAGGTTTCCTTTCTCCTCCCTTCCATCTTGTTCTTGAACATGGGCCAGCCCGAGGGGAGGGTTTAGCATTACCAACTTGTTAAAATGGATCCAATATGATAGATGAAAAAAGTCCTTGACAGTTTTATTTCATTGAGGGTTTGAATGTTATACTTATTTAAAAAAAAAAATAACTAAGAATGAAGGTATGACCCAAAGGAGTAAACGATAACTGGAACCTATTATTTTGCTACCTCTTCGTTACATCTACCCAAGCCACTCCCGTGCCTGCTTCGGAGCACGACTCCTTTTTTTGTGAACTGCACTATGTGACTTACTTTGCCACGACAGTGTTTATGTGAGTCCTCACGAGTCCCAAATATTGGTCGATCTGTGCCTACAAAGAGGAAGAGATTATGAGCACACACAAACAGCGTGGGGGGAGGGGATCCACATTTCACATGGATGCCTGACCCCACGCGCAACTCACCTGGTGCTTAATGTACACCACAGGTAGGGTAAACATCGAAACCACGGCTGGCCCGGGGAGCGGGGGGGAGGAAACAAATATACCATTAGAACTCTGAGGTCAGCAGGAGCAAGATGCATTCTGCATCGCCATGTGACAGTAGCGTTATTTGGGAAAAAAAATAGCATTTGTAGATCAAAGATGGCAGGGAAAAAGGAAAAAAATAAATAAGAAGGAGGACGAGCCCTCTGTAGAGAAACCGTTATTCCTAGAATGAGGATGTGACGTGCCCTTTCAAGATGACGGCTGGTGACAATCGATCCACCCATAGCTGCCGCAGCAGACGTAGAGATACTAGAAGCCAGTGTGGTGATGGGGTTAAAAAAAAAAAAGTCACACTTAAACATGCATTGTTAACTAACTACAATTGAAAGGAAGATACTCTCCACTTGGGGACATCCAATATCCGTTCCTACCAAGAAGCCGAAGGCTGGCAGCCCTGCAGTCTGAGGCCCAGGAAGCCCTTACCCATAAGCAGCAGGGTCAGGCCATTGAAGAGCGCGCCAACGTAAGTCAGGAGCCACATGAGAACTGCAAACTGAAGAATGAAGGGGATCGTCAGCGAGCCCACCATCAGCCCTCCCAGACGGGGTTCACACCTTTCCCGAGGTAGGATTGCAGTTGTTCTAGTTAGCATTTCAGGTCCCCCCCTCCAAAGACTAGAATGAATGGCAATAGGGAATAGATTCCCGGGAAATTATTTTGCTAGGAAATAAAAGTACAGTAAAGTGTCGAAACCTCACTGTACTGGTCCCTTGGAGACCTTGGATCATGCTGTTAAGATTCAAGGGACCCAATAGAATCAGAGGCTAAGCTAAGCATTCGGCAAGCTGCAGATCTTGGCTGTTTTTATAAGGGCCCAGGGTTTAAAAAGGAATTTTTACATTTTTTTTAAATGGTCAAATTAAATAATAGTATTCAATGATTTCTATTTAATTTAATTTACAGTGCTTATCAATAAAGTTTTATTGGTACACAGTCATAGCCCTTCATTGACAGATTGTCTTTTGCTGCTTTTGTGTTGTAGTGTTCAGGGTGTGTAGGGATAATAAGGCTTGAAGCCCCAGGCCATATTATCTGACCTTTACAGGCCTCCTCTGACCTTTACAGGTGAAGTTGGCTCGCCTCTGTTCTGGTCCACAATTTGTACCTTACAAATATTAGCAGTCAGCAAGTGTGATCTCCAGACATGTCTCTAAGTATCTGTGACAGCTCCTGTTCCAGGGATGTACCTTGAAGATCAGGCCCCTATCTCTCGCTGTTCCCCCTGACTCCCACATAAACTGTCTAGGACTGTCTGATGTAAGTCTGATCCTAGTTCTTCCAAATACTACTGGGTAACCATGGATATGTGTAAATGTTTCTGGGCCACAGTTTCATCGTTTGTGGAATGAGGGACTAGCTTGGATGAGTTCTGCGGTGCCACACAAATAGACTCTCAGCTTCTCGACTAGTGAGCGCTTGCTGCGTAGTGTCTGAACTGTAGCTGCCTACAGTAGCCTTCCTTTCGGGAGAAGCACTCAGTTCTGTCAGGCAGGGGGAGGAAGCCGTCATACTTTGAGGGAGTCCACCAGGTCCTGCACGAGGAAGAGCCTCCGGAGCTCTTTCAGGGTGCCGTTCACGTACAGCTGCAGGCAGTCCGTGTACTTCTGGATCTGCTCCTGGGACAGCGTGATCTCCAGCTCCAGGTAGGCCCTGTCAACAAAGCATCCCGAGAGAACGCCATTAGAGGCCTGAGCTGCACCCGAGGGCCACGCAAGTGCTCGTCACACTGGGAGAACCATGGCTGGGTCATTCCCAAGGGCTCTGGCTGCTGGCCGGAGGACACCGAGCAGCACACTCTGTTTCTGTACTCCGGGAGGGCAGAATTTCTCACTCGCTGGGGGTTCCGTGACTCTAGCTACACAACACAAAGGGTTGAACTGGTAACACAGAGAAACTAGGAAGGACCGAGAAAGACGGGGGAGCAGGCCACTCCTTCACTGACTTTCCATACACAATCACAATCTTCCTGGGTACCAAAAACTTCCTGGGTACTGAAAACCCCAGCTGCCACACTGTTCCCTGACAGACTCTAAGAGTCTATGTTTAAATTTTGAAACTCGCTTCCAGGTTTCCCTAGAGAACGATGGTAACATCCGTGGCCTGGACCATATTAAATACTCATTGGTCCCAGTGAATGATGTTTTTAGTAATGAGTTTTTTTGTTTGTTTGTTTTTTCATTTGTTCAGGTGGTTAGATTTAACCCACAGGTGGTAACCTAAATAAAATATAGAATATATTTGTGTAATATTCACAAGCGTTCTTTGCTTGGCCACACTCCTCCACCAGGCTCTGGCTTCCCTTCCCTTTTCCTCCTCTCCTATCTGAAGACGGCTCTGGACCGGCTGCCTAGCCTAGAGTTCTTAAAGGCATGAGATGCACAGAGCTGGAGCGCCAAGCAGTCTTTGTCTTGAGTTGTAGGGAGAGTTATGGACTAAAGGCTGTGCTCCTCTAGAACTCCGTGCTGAATCCTCACTCTTAATGCTGTTGGCATTATCAGCATGGTACCTTGGAAGGCGATTATTTCAGAGGATGGAACCCTTATGAATGAGACTGGAGCCCTTGAGAGTCCTTTTATCCTCTCTATTGGAGCCCCCAAAGAACTCTTGATGCCTCATGAGGATCTAACAAAAAGGTATATAATTCAACCACAGGGCAGTTTCATTACAGATTTTGCACAATCGGGAGAAATGCATTTTTTTCATCATTTCATCCAGTGAGTTTATGGCACTTGGTTATAACAACCTAAACTGACTTGGGGAGTTTATATTTACATTTTAAGGCTTTCTTCCCTTGGAGACAACACTTACTTGTCCAGACAGTATGCTGTGATTAAAAACACAGAGTCAAGTATCTCTTTGCTGACACAAGTGAATACAGTGAAGCAATTTTAAACTTTATTTGCCTGCTAGAGGACAATAAAGGAATCAGGCTACATAGAGTTTTCGACTCTTGTTCCTGTAACTGGTACCAGAAGCAGTAAGCCAAATGGGCCCTAAGTCCCATGCTTCAGCCTTGGGACAAGAACATGGCAGTTACAGAAGCAATGAAGCAGAATGTGCAAGAACCATGGATGGGCGAGGACAGAGCTGGGGCAGAGGAGAACAGCCGTGTCGAGAACTTGGCCACAGGCTAGTGCCAGTCAGATCTGGGCTGTGTGTGTGCTAGAAACGAAGACACACCACTTCTGCGTGCTCTTACCTGTTGGGCACTGGAACATGTGAAACCAAGCCTCGGCCCAGATGGCCCAGTAACTCACGTTAGAAAGAGGTGTCATGAGTGTGCACCATGAGGAACCATGAGTGTGTACACTGTCACTGTGTTTGGCACTGAGGGCAGGACCAAGATGCTGAGGGGGACGTATAAGAGCAGCCTCGACCTTCAGGCTACCCAACCTCGCACTGGGCACCGCTTTCTTTTCTGAGGCTCTGCCGCCCCTGGGGATTTGGGCTGGCTGGCACGCGAGGCGGGGTAAGGGACACACAGAGCCGGCACCAGTGAACCCTGGCCTCCGGCCCAGACGCCGCAGCATCTCATGAGCACATCTCATCCAGGTCTCACACTGACCCGCAACAATATGACACGAGGACGCGGGAGGTGGGGCCTGCGGGCGGCTGGCAGGTGCGCGTGACACCCGCCCTGAATTCTGTGCTGAGATGGAGAAGTTAGCCACAGTGGGGTTGGTTGGATGGCACTGGCAAGGCTACCACTGCCCTCTGCCACCCGTGTTTACCTAAACCGTTCATAGGTTGCCCTAAAGAGCTGGGGAGGGGAGGCGGAAGGGACGGCTCAGCAGTGAAGTGCTTTGTGCTCTTAGAGTTCCCAGAACTCAGTACCTCCTTGGGCACCTGCATACATTTGCATTCACACATAAGAACATGCATGAGCACACACACACACACACACACACACACACAATTATTAACAATAAAGTATTTTAAAAGACTAAAACTTCTCTCCCTTTGAGTAGTCACTCAACCCCAATTTTCCCCGCATCTGCATGTGGTAAGAGCGCCCATGAACCTCATAGCAATCAGAAGCTTGGGCCTGTAAATAAGAATCCCAACACCCCGTCCTTGTTCTACAGTGTTTACTGGCTACCTGACTTCCTAGAACCTGAGCATTCCCATCCGTACATAGGGGTTACAGTGCCTGCCCTGTCTTCCTTCTCAAGAAGGTTGGATTAATAATTGTTGGAATTCTCTTAAAAGGGAAATGAAACAAAACAAGGGATGGGAGAGATGGCTCAGAGCTTCAGAGCACTTGCTGCTCTTTCAGAGGACCTGGGTTCGATTCCCAGCACCCACATGGCACTACAACCATCCATAACCCTAGTTCCAGAGGATCCAACAGGCCCTCACGTGGAGCACATCCATGCAGGCAGAACATTTTGCACACACACACAAAGCAAAACAAGTAAATCTAAAACGCTATTTTAGAAACATTGCACACAGAGAACAGGTTGTGATTGCTTTCGTTACCTAGTAGTGTTGTGATAAGAGTGTGTTATAGAAGCGACCACCAGTGACCTTCGGTGGTTAAAGGGGGGGGGGGTTTCAGGGAAACTCTAGGAGGTTCCTGGGAGGCAGAGGGAGCACCCAGAGAGGCAGGGTGAGGGCTAGCCAGCCTGAGGCACTCACTTGAAGGGGTGCCCCTCATCTGTTTTCTGTACAGCTTGTAGAACGGACTTGTAGATGCGGAAGCTGATGGTGGCTGAGAGGGCAGCCAGGGCCAGGTAGGCAACGACGCTCACCACGCTGAACTGGGTCAGGGAGAAGAGCAGCAGCAGGAAGCTCCCAAACACGATCCCCGTCTGCTTGATGTCGCGCCAGTACAGGAGGTCAATAGCTGCGGAGGGGAACACAGACACACACACTGCTCAGCCCCGGCAGGGCCCTGGTGAGCCCAGGACCATTCTGCTGCAGCTGGGGCTGCAGTCTCCCACTTGGCAACGGGCAGAGAAATGATGGCGACACCCGGGACACTGACTGAGACTCCATTTTGATTCATTAAAGTCCCCAAGGCTAAGGACAGTTCACAGATTCACAGCCATGACTCCAGCGAGCAAAGATATCGCTCTGGGTGTGTGCAAGCATATTGCTATGGACGCTACCTGTATGGTGGCTGGGAGTATGTGATGTTGAAACATTTGAAAATACAGAAATTGTGTGGAGGGCCTGTTCTTCCCTCTGATCACACTGATTACACGCATAACTGGAGGCCTCGCTGTCAATAGTGGGTCTCAACAGTGGCTCAGCGGATTAGCTGCCACTGAGAATAGACAGCAAGGAAACAGAGTTTGGGAAGGAAGGTGGTGCCTTTGCAAGGGAAGTAGAGGAGACCTCAGCCAATACCACGTGCACCTGAACGGAAACAGTTTTCTTCCAAAATCCAGGCGAAACTGGCTGTGTAACAAACCCTGAAGTTGACACTTGCAGTGCTGCGGATTGTACCCAGGGCCTCTTGTGTGTGAGTGAGGCCTTTAACCTATCTTTTAAAGCTGTTTAAATGTTTTATTTTATTATAATTATTATTATAGGACTGTGTCACCAGCCCCAGCTGGCATTTGGATTAAACTTTTTGCATACTCCCCGTGGTGGTCTGAATAAGAAAGGCCATCATAGGTTATCATAGGTTCATATATTTGAATCCTTGGTTCCCAGCTGGTGGAACTGTTTGGGAAGGATTAGGAGGTGTGGCCTTCTTGGAGGAAGTGTATCACTGAGGGCGGGTTTTGAGGGCTCAAAAGCCCACGCAGTTCCAAGTTTCTCCCTCTCTGCCTCCTACTTGTGGATAAAAATGTAAGCTCTCAGCTCCTGCTCCACACTGTGCCTGCTGGCTGCCGTGCTCCTAGCCACTATGACAGTAAAACCCTCTGCAACCATGAGCCTCGAGTGTAAACACGAAACCCATTTATGTTTCATATGTCACATACACACCCAGTGTGGAGGCCACTTTAGACGCTTCAAACCATTTCCGTGCAGGCTCCAGAGTTTCACGGTGTGGTATTTGCCATGTGTGGCATATTGGCATCTCAAATTGTGTCTGTTAGATTAGATCAAGGGTAGCATGCCCCCACCTGCTGACGATCAATGGCTGACGAGGTGACACGGAAACAGTGTCCAGGCAAGTGCTGAACCCTCCTCCCAACACACTGATCTCAGGGGGCTGCAAGGCAAGACGACCTTTCCCCTGGCCTCAAGGGCCCCCAGCAGTATGAGACTGGAGAGAAATGCCCTTCCTACCAATTGCCTTGTACCACTACAATGGTCCCTCAATGGTTTCAACTCAAAGTTACCAACAGCCATTTGTTTGAAAAAAAAAAAAAAAAAAAAGCAGGAGTCCTTTTCTCTTATGATACTTCTCTGACACAAGAAGCAGGGAAAGGAAAAGCTCAAAGGTATGTTTGGGGATGAAACAAAGATTTTTATTTCCTTTTAAAAAGTAGGGTCAGGGCCGCAGTCGGCTCCAAAAGTCATTGTTGTGCTAAAGCCTCTTTCTACCCAATCATCTATCACACTGGTTGACCATTAGAAATAAATTTCCTTCAATAACTTTCTTTGTGTCCCCAAAGTCCATGTCATCATGTCATCATGATCTTCATATATATATGCCACAACCAGACATTGTATGAAAAGACTTGCTTTTCCTTAACAATGATCACAGGATATGCCCAAATAATTTTCCCTTTAGAAGAGTACCAAAGTATAATATTTTCAGGAGCAGAAGACCTTTGGTAACAAATGATCTGTGAACCCCTATAGCCCTGAGAGCAGGTAACAGAGGTGGCCTTGGAGGAAGTCTAGATCAGCCAGGCTGAAGGTCTTGGGCTGTGGGGAGCCTTCAGCAGCTCTGCTCGTTGAGTTAGTCAGGAGCCCAAGCCCAGGCTTTGCGCTGGGAGACAGGGCCATAATAATATATGAAGTGTGGAAACAGGGAGACACTCTTCAGCTACAAACGAGCAACTGCAGTCTGTGGGAAGTGTGACCTGCCCAGCAGGCAAGCGGGGGTACAGGCAGCTTGTAAGGAGGAGATTTCCTGGAGTACTGCGAGAGCTGGGGAAGGTGCTTGACACCCAGCCCTATGACTAGAGAAGGAACACGGGAAAGTCTACAAGTTGTTTTCAGACCAGAAAGACACAGGATTTGCCACTTCTACCTGATTCCCCACTGAATGAGGCGCTGACCACCTACCGTTATAGGTCCTGCCTAGAAAAGCCTTCTACATCTTTGACCACCTGCTCAAAAGGCGGAGAGCAGCTGGTACCCAGTCTGGGGCGATCTTGGAAGAATCTGTGGGCAAGGAGGTTAACTGAGGCCAGGTGTTTGGCCAGCAGCCAGCAGCCCTGTCCATCAATCTAAGATTCCGAGAAGCTTCTATTTAGTCGATCAACAGAAGATGTCTTGTAAAGGGTGGGCTGTGGACTCTGGGTTCTTTGTGTCGGTATTATCTGTGTGGACATTGAAATGTTCAGAGCTTTCTCCCCAACAAAATAGTTGTGTTTTTCAGTTTCTGTTAAATGGCCCCTCAATTCACGCAAAATCAACTTTGGGCCATATGATTCTATTTTAAGCTGACTTCACAAGGAGCTACTTAATTGGGTTGTTTTTCTTTTAGCAAAATCAAGTCCTTATCTATCGTTTCTTGATCACTGGTTTTCTAACGGGCACAGGAATCAAGCAATTATAAAATGTTCTTTCTCTATTTTTAAGGATGTGGAGGCCTAGCTGGGATGACCAGACAGTCTGTTGAACAGACCCCAACTCAATGCCATTCTGTCTGTATTGCAGAAAACACGAGTTGCTATTGAGGCTGTGATAGTCCTGGATCGGTCTGAAGGAAGATGTGGGGGTGTTTTGTAAACTTGGGATGCAGTTGTTAAGGGCATGAGGTGGTTAGGGAAGCATGCAGGATGAGAGCAACATTTCCAAACGCAGTGAATGAGAGGTTACCATCACTGATAAAAGGGGAATGTTAGGGGATTTCGGGGTGAAGATGATACTTGTTTTTAAACCCCTAGATTCTGACACAAGACCTAGAGGTAGAGCCACAGCCTGGGGTATTACGAGACTGGAATCTCAGAAAAGTATGGCATTATACACAAAGTTAATTTTTTTTTACATGCTTCGAAGTTAAATGCTTTTGAAAGGTTCTGTAACAGTGGCCTCAAGTTAAAATGGCCTTTGATATCATATCTGCAGAGCTCTTCAGGGGTCTGCGCACAGTAGGCGGCTGGAAACTTGATAAGCCAACAGAAGTGAATGTTGATAAACAGGATGTACTGTTGGCATTTGGCTGCATCCGGAATAGAACAAAACAGTTGAGTCCCTGGAAATGGAGGAAATTTCTGAGAAGTGGGAGGCTATCGGGGCACAATTTAGGATGAAGCCATTGAGTCAGACAGAAGTGGGGCTACACAGAGAATCTGAGGCTCTCGGTTTGACACAGCAGTGTAGATTCCAGTATCAATGAAGATAGAAGCTTCCCAGAATTCCACGGGAAATACTGCGGCCACACTAAGGGAAGTGAGGACTGGGAAAGGGCATCTGAGTCTGGACACTGGAGCGCTGGGCAGCCCTGTGCAGGCAGCTGTGCTGGGAGTAGCAAGGTAAAGGAGTAAGGGGCTGAGGAAATGGAAGTTCAGAGAGACAGGGAAGATGGCCATCTGTGGAGGAGCAGCTGTGTCCACAACCACAACTCGACCTTCTAACTGAGAAAAGGGTGGGTGTGTAGTGAAAACGAGTGGGGGAAGAGTTCTGAAAGAGAAGACAGGTGACTGAGCAAGAACTTGGAGAAGATGGATGGATTAGTCATAGCCTTTCTTCCCAAGAAAACAAGGAGAGAGATTTTAGGAAAAGAAGCAGATTCGGACACAGATGTGTTGAAGTAATGTGGCGTGCCTGGAAACTGAACTCTGATCTGACATGGAACGTGGTCAGTGGGTCTTCCTGAGTCTGCGGAGGTTAGGGGTGTGGCTGGGCGACAGCAGGAAAGGTTGAAGCCTGTTTTATGCAATAAAGTTGTGACAAGCCATACATGGTGACTGAGCGATTGAATGTGGCTGATTCCAAGTGGGGCAGATGCTCTGAAAGTGCGAACTAAAATACAGGGATCTAGACTTAGTTAGAAGAGGAGGAGGAGGAGGAGGAGGAGGAGGAGGAGGAGGAGGAGGAGGAGGAGGAGGAGGAGGAATGCAAAATATCTGGTTAATGATTTCCATGTTGATTATATGTTGTAAAGCTAATGGTTTTGGATATGTTGGGTTAAATGGAATACACTACCAAAATTAACCTTGACCATTTCCTTTGACTTTTTAATGCTGCTGCTAGAAAATTTGAATATTTACATGTGGTTTACATGATGTTTCTGTTGGGTGATTCCGCTATACAATGAGGACTCCAAAAGGAAGGAATAAAGGAATCACCCCAAGGCGAAAGGGGCTTTGATTAAAGTCCGGGACTCCAGGTGAGCAGGCAACAGGGTTCCATTCAGGGTGCTGTGGTCAGTAGGTACTGAGCCGGCCTGGAGCTGAGAACTGACACACAGCAACACAGTGAGAGGAGACTAAAATCCAAGGGGTCAGAATTGAAAATGCAGTACCTGGGCCCCCGGCTTACAGCAGGAGACAGGCGGACCAGGAGAGTGAGAATAGCCATACACGGTCGGAGTGCAGGCAAGTGGTTCGGTGATCCAAGATGGAGTGGAACCTGTGGGAGGCGATGAGGCTGTGATTTCAGAAGGGAACTTCTGTGCTTTGGGTTCCAAAGGCTGGCTTTTCTCAGCTGAGTTTTGATGGGACTGATGGGAATCTGTGAGCAAGCTTTGCCATATCTGCTATGGTTTGACTA